TTGGCTCTTCATGGATCACTTTGGGGAAAAATGTAAATATTAGAGAGACTCATCCTCAAGCGTAAAATGAAGACAGCAGCCGTTTGGGATTCAGTGTGTTTTGTATTTCTGTATATTTTGATGCAAAATACCATCACACAGTTGCTTTCTATTGTACAAGTATTCATATTTCCCAGAAAAACACTCCCCACTTTGTCCATACATCTCTGCTGCACAGGTCCGTCCGTTACAAAACACAGTAAAACAATACAAACGTCCACTGAGCACCGCGCAGCAGGAAACAAGTGAAAATACAGAAAACCGGTAAGAAGACACTCCAAAGATCGAATGGATCTGCACCAGGAAGAGGACGGAGAGCAAAACATCCTACCAGCAGGCTTGACCTCAGAGGAGGATTCTGATTGGCTGCGGCCGGTGCTCCAATGCAGCAAAGTGACTCAGCAGGGTTTGATATACGGCAGCCAGGAGGGATGCTTCCTCTCTCTCCCTCGCCGCCTCTCACATTAGCCAATGAGCAGAGCTAAAAAGCACCCCTCCCACTCGTTCATCCTCACCAGCCCGTCCCGGAGGGATCGGTGTTATAATAACTCCAAAACGTATCACCGGTGAGATCTTTAAATTTGATGATTGTCGTTAAAAAAACTGCACCCAGACTTTAAAACCTCAACTGAAACACATGCTGGTTCTCGGTGCCACCAGAATAACGCAGCAGGTCAATCAGGATACAGCAAGATGAAGCCAAAGCAGGCTTCTAAGTGGGTTTCCCCTTTTCCTCCTCACCCCTCTCTTCCTCTTCCTCCTCCTCCTCCTCCTCCTCCTCTGTGCTGCAGTGGCACAAATCTGATCCTGCAAACTCAGGGAGACGGAGCCACGCCCGCCCATCCATCCTCATGCAGACAAACACACACAAACTACAGGTCCAGGAAGAAGCTCAGCACGGACCCGAAGGGCTCAGTTTAGGAACAACAGCAGCGATCGAGACCTCCGAGTTCTTCTAATCGGATGATGCACACAGAGAGTGACAGAATATAAGTCAGACCACAACATCAGAGGGCCGCTCATATGACTTGTTTTTACTCCAGAAGGTCTACGGCATCAGGGGCTTTCAGTATCATCATGTCGTGTGTTTGATTTACATTCCATGAAATAATTAAGTTCACATTCAGCTCCATGCAGACAGGAAGGCAAAGAATTAACGAGTAGATGCTTCTTCAACTCACGTTCAAGGAAGATTTTTGTGGAAATAATAATAAAAACAAAAAAAAACAAAACTTGAATTAAGTAAGAAAAATAAGTGCAGTTTGAATCCAGGTCAATGAATTAATGTTATCAGTAGATTGGATTTCATGAACCCAACACCGTACATCGTCTTCTATGAGGGAGAAGCTCAAAGTCGCTTCACCTCAAGAACAGAAATAATGAGATTCATTTATAATTGATCTAATAAGAAAGGCGCAGCTCAAGTGATTTATTATTTAAACAGGTTCAGTGGTTCCAGATCGCGGGTGGAATGAAAGACGGACCTCAGATTTCTAAAATCTACATTCAGACAGTGAGTTTGTCTGAATCTGAGCTGAAGTGCAAACAAAGGAAACAACAGAGATGTCAGGTTTTTTAGGAGGTGAAAAAGGATCGAACTTGTGGAAACGAGTCGGCACGGATATGAAAAAACAAAACACCAAAGGAATGAACCAACTGAGCTGGTTCTGCATGGTTTTGTTATGTGATTAGTTTGCTGATGAAGGAAGCTGCTTACAGAGCTGTTCACATGTTCACGCTACAGGAACGTTAAAGGAACAGTTCAAAGACTTCACTAGCTTTCTTGCCAGTAGTTAGATGTGAGGATTGATGCGGCTCTCATGTCAGCTCACCATAAACTATCTAACCACCTATAATCTCATTCTGTGTTGA